GTATATATATATTCCGAATAGTGGTACCTATTGGTAGCAACGAATACGGCGTCGCCGTCTTTCTTGTTCACACTGTCAATGACATTTGCGGCCACCGAGAAAGCAACCTCCTCGCTTTCTTGCAGATGCTTTGGGCTCGTGCACCCGTCAATGGCTTTTTGAACCTTTTCGCACCATTTCTGTGGGTTCAAAAGGTAAGCAAAGGCATTGTTAGGGCAAAGATAATGTGACTTGGGATTTTTTGGGTAGACGTAGTGACTCGATATAGAACTGGCACACATAATAATACAAACCATTGAGGTCGAGGCAGTTCATATGGACATGTAGAACAAACACAGGTACATAACATTACTTGCACATATGCACAGATACAAATATATAACAATACATAGACATGTGAACAGATGCAGGTGCATAACATTACGCACATACAATATGAACAGGTACAGGCACAGAACATTACATACACATATGATACCATCAAGCACGTACACATATGATAGCATTAAGCACATACACATATGAACAGGTACGGGTACCAAACATTACATACACACATGATAGCATTAAGCACATACACCTATGAGCAGGTACAGGTACCGAACATAACATACACATACCCACTCACCTGTCTCTCTTTCAAGTAGCGCTCGTGAGAGAGTGCGGCGCTGGTGTCTGTGGCATTAAGTGTCGAACTGTTTGTGAGCAGATCCAGAAGTTGTTGTTGATCGTCATGCTGCCAAGGCAAAGTATAAATTAGGAAAGACGACATGCACTTACAAATAACCCCTAAACCTTAAAAACAAGTACAAGAATATGGATGAACTAGGAAAGAAAGGTGATAGAATAGAAGAGATAACCACGTACAATTGAACTTCAGAGGTATATAACACTAACATACCCATACAATCCATACAATACATGGAATAGCATAGACGCACACACACACCACAAAGACAATGAGATAGTGTCACAAACACACACACACACTCACTCACATACACACACACATACCACAAAAACAATGAGATAGTGTCACACACACACACACACACCTCAAAGGCATTGAGGTAGTGTCTGGTGAGTGAGTTCACACTGTCATTGAGCACGCCCTCCATCGCTCGCTGGCCTGTGCGCGTGAAGTCACTCTTGAGTGCGTTTGTGCCTGCGTACAGATTGCTGATAGTGTCTCCATGCTCAGCCCACATATGTTGGAACACCGACTGTGCCGCCGGTCCGAAGGATGAGGCTGCAGAGGGGATTCTGTGGATGTGTGGTTGGATGATATGGGGGGTGTATGTACTGTGGTTGTGTGGTGGAATATGTAATGTTATAAGGGGTATACGTACTATATAGGTATGATGTGCATCACTGGAATAGGAGCTGATACTTTGATCATGTAGTAGAATACGTAACGCTAATAGGGATATACGTAATATAGGTATGATTTGCATCACTAGAAGAGGTGATTGTACGTAGATAACGCAGTAGAATATGTACTGTAGAGTATACCCTAGTGATAG